GGAGGGCGTCTCGGACCCTCGCAGCTGGAGGAGGGTGGGGTGTGTGTGTGTGTGTGTGTGTGTGTGTGTGTCCTCACCTCCAGGTCTAACCCTAACCCTCCCACCCCCTCTTTCCCTCCATCCTTTCCCTCTTCTCCTCCATCCTTTCCCTCTTCTTTCCATTCCTTCCCTTCTCCCCCACCTCCTCCCCTCTCTCCTCTCCTCCCTCTCATTATCCTTCCCTTCTGTCTGTTCCCCTCAGTCTGGCTTTTCCCTCCCCTCCCCTCCTCTCCTTTTCCACCCCTCCCCCTCATCAGCCCCGCCCCCTCCGTGATCACGTGGGGGTGCCGCCGGATTTAAGCCTAATCTGCCCAGTGCTCAGCACAGCAGTCTGGCTGAGGGGTGGGCGGGCTTTGTTGGTCTCCAGGGCCCTGGAGGAGGGCTTGGAGAGGGGTGCCCTCAGCCTCCCCCCATGAGCTTGGGGCTGGAAAGGTCATTGGAGGTGCAGCTGGCATTGGAGGCCGTTATCCAGGTGGGTCTTAGGGGCTATGCCCATCCTGCCCAGGACAGGGGAGCATGGGCCTAGCAGGAGTGGGTGAGGAGTGGGCACATCTTGGGGGTCCAGGGGTGGGAGAAGTGTGGTGGCGGACCCCAGGGGCCCCAGTTTACAGCTCCTGGCCAGACTTAGGGTCGAGGGGTGCTCAGGGCTCAACTCTGTGGCTCCCTTATCCAGTGCCCTTCCAGGGAAGGGGGAGTTCCTTCCAGATTTTAGGGTTGGGGTGACCTCTGCTGGCAAAGTGGGATCCTCGCTCATCTAGGGAGGGAGCTGGATTGGAGCCCCCAACACCGTGCTGTCCCGATGGGCTTGCGAGTGGACCATGGGGTTTGGTTTGCTTCCTGGCCCTTGAGGGGCCGCCTTCCCCAGGCGGGAGACACAGAGTGTCCTCCCATGAGCTGTTTGTGATTCTAACCCCCAGGCTTCCTTCCATTTGGGGATTTCCAGAGGGTCTCCTGGTCACCCCCATCTTGGACGGCAGGACTTTATTTCTCTCTCACCCACGCCAGGGAGCCCAGGGTCCCAGGTCTCCCGAAGCCCCTCCCTCTTTCCTCACAGACGCTGGAGAGCAGCATCCTGGGGCCGGGCCAGGAGAAGGGCCTGAATGTGCAGGACCCGGCCCAGGACTCTCAGCCCACCTGCCTGCCTGCCCGCATCAGGGAGATTGTCACTCGCAACTTCTCCCAGCCTGAGAGCCCAGGTACCGCACACACTGCCAACATCTCACCTCTTCTCACATCCCCCTTCTCAGCAGCCGTAATAACAGTAGTGATTACAGCTTCCATTTCTTGAATAATCACTGTGAAGCAGGCACAGGCCTGTGATGGAGGGTCCCATTTTTCAGATGACAACAGGGAGGTACGGAGGTGTAATTTGCCCAGACTTGCTCCCCATGTGATGCTGCTAGAAGGCAGGGCTGAGCATCTCCTCCTTGCTTGCAGGCAGCCTGCTGCAAAGACTTAAACCCCACATTCACTCCCAGGGAAGGTGTGAGCTGGATGAATCCAAGATTACAGGGGGAGGGAAGCTCAGTTTAGCTCAGGGCTTTGCAGGAGTCCAGAGGGGTGGGAATGTCTATTCTCCCCCGGGCAGGAGGGCTGATGGGCCCCTGCTCCTTCTGGAGGGTGGCACCCACAACCTCATATGTGGTTTGAGAGTCTGGGAAGGGCCCCCTCAGTTGCAGCTCCTCCTGGGACCTGGTCCACTTCCCTGCCTCCAGGGATGGGTAGGGCACCTGTAGGGGGAGGCGGTTCCTCTGGATACAGGTGGAAGCCAATCATGTGCCCGCTGTCCCTCTCCAGCCCTGCTGCCCACCACTGAGATGGCATCGATGCTGTCGCTGCAGGAGGAGAACCAGCTGCTGCAGCAGGAGCTGTCCCGCGTGGAGGACCTGCTGGCTCAGAGCCGAGCCGAGCGCGATGAGCTGGCCATCAAGTTCAATGCGGTCAGCGAGAGGGTGGGTGCTACTGGGGGCAGAGAACTGGGCTAGGGGTCCCCTGCAGTGAGGGCAGGGCGACAGCCAGGGCAGGCCCGTACATGGGGCAAAATGTGGCCTCTGGAGTCAGGCCACCTCCATTGTGGCCTCTGCCATCTTGAACGGCCTTGAGCAGATCACTGTGCTCTGTGAGTCTGCTTTCTGTAGTGGGGATGCTGACATGATGCAGTCGTGAGGCGTCAATGAGCGATGAAATCAAGTGCCTGGCATGGGGGTTATTTCATTCCTGTCTGTCCTGGGCCTGCTTAGGGTGTAGGACATGGAGCACAAGCGCCCTAGAGGCCCCCGCCACCCCTTGCATGTCGGGTCATCATCTCCCTGTGCTCCCATTTACCTAGGCCTTAGGGGACGCTGGGGTGGGCACAGTCAGCCACAGACCTGCCCTGCTCCCCGTGGGGGTGAGTCCCAGCCAGCTAAGGAAGGAGAAGCCGGGCCAGCCCCCAAATTCAGACAGGATTCACATCCCGTGGGGACTGGTCCTGCAGGGCCTGGGACAGGAGGTCAGTGTGGGCCCGTTGTTCTGAGTGCATTGTCTCCTTTAGACCTTCAGGCTCGTGGGAGGTGGCCCTGGGGAACTGATGGAGGCTGAGAGTTGGTGAGAGAGTTGCACGAGGGAGGGTGTGTGCCCATGGGAGATGTGTGGGTGTAACAACAGTCATAATAGTAGCTAATGATTATTCGGTGCCTACTGTGTGCCAAGCATGTGCTGGGTACTTTATGTTTAATGCACCAAAGTCGGGACCAGTATGATGCTCATTTAACAGAGATGACAGAGGCTCAGAGAGGGAAAGCACTGTGCTTGGGGGTCACACAGCCAAGGGCTGTGCACTGCAGTTTTGTTTCCTGGGTGTGGGAAGAGACAACTGGGCTAGGATTCTAGGGGGCTGCTGGTCCCAGGAAAGCTGAAAAGACCTCAGATGTGAGCCCCTGATGTTACAAAAGGAAGATTGAAGCCGAGGCTGAAGCTGGCCCAGGGTCCCCTGGGTGGTATTGGTTTCTGTGTGTGGTTGCGGGGCAGGCTGGTGTCCTGGCATCCACCCGCCTGGACAAGCCCCTGACTTGTTGGGACTTGTAGAGCAGCTGGGTAGGGGGCCCGCAGTGGCCCCCAGCACTGGGGACAGAACACAGCTAGTTTTCCCAGGGTTTGCAGGGGCTGTGGAGGGTGGGCCGGGTCGAGTCCGCGTTGTTAGTGGTGGGCCCTGAGCCAGCCCCCTACCAGTTTAGGCCTGTCATCTTTGAGCTCCTGGCACAGTGTCAGGCCCCCGGGGGCTACCTCTTAAATGCCAACTTCTGACTGACAATGAAGCCAGCACCACCCCCGCTCCAGGCTGGCAGGGGAAGGGAAGAAGAGGTGGAGGCAGCAGGTGCCTTTTCTGCTAGGACACAGCTGCTGGGGCTGGACCGGGAGCTGCATTAGTGTAGGAAGTTTCCTGGTATGGCTGGGGAGGCCCCTGGATCGCATGTGGAGGGAGCCTGGTGTGTGACTGCCGTCTCATCTGAGACGGGCGAGTGCAGCCCCACCTGGAGGCCTTTGGAGGGGTGGGGGAATGGGGCTGGGTCCACAGAGAACATCAGAGCCTGGAGATCACCTTATTAGAGGTGGGGGAACAGGCCCAGGGAGGGAGCATGACAGGGCCAAGGTCAGTGGTGGAGCTGGGATGAGACCCCTGGTCCAGGGCTCTGTGGTCCTGAGGCACTGTCTCTTCCTGCTGCCCACTTGTCCCCGGCTGCAGGTGGCGGGGCCTGCCCTTGTGGCCATAACTGCTGCATGTGGGCTAGCTTGAGGAGCAGTCAGTGAGGTTGTTCTGACCCTTTAAACTCCACAACATCCCTGGGAAAGGGCAGTGGAGGTGAGGTCAGGATCTGTGTTCTGTCGACTGCATTAGGGAAACTGAGGCAGGGGCTCCCAGTGGCCACCTCCCAGGTCAGAGGGAGAACCTCAAGGTCCCTGCGGAGGCCCCCCTTCTTCCTGTCCTGGAGGAGCAGGTGGTGGGCAAGGCAGCTGGGATAGGAAGGAGGGGGTCGGCTCCACCGGCCAGGCCCCTGGGCTCCCCTAGTGTCCATAGCAACCTGGATGGAGTGAATGGAACGGCGGGGGCTAGGGCAGCTGTTGCTAGGGGAGACAGTAAACTTCTTTCATCCTTGGCTTGATGGCAGCCTCCTTCCCTTTTGAATTACAAGGAAAACTGAAAGGCTGTTTTGTGAGGGGCAAAGTTTGTGGAAAGGGGTGAAGTGTGCCCGGGAGTGGCTGAGGTCTGGCAGTGAGCACCAGGGAAGCGGTGGAGTACCCAGTGACGCCGGAACCCCTCTAAATCAGAGAAGCAGACAGCACCTGGCTCACACAGATGTGTAAGACACAACACAACACAGGCTGCCATCAGACCCCTCCCGTACACACAGATGCACAAAACACATCACACAAACACAAACCCACCATGGGGATACACTCAGATGTGAATCTGCACCCACAGTCAGACACCACATGATCCCAGCCAAGCGCATGGTCACACCACCATGATACACCCACCCCGCAGACCACACAATGTTGTGTCACATTCCCTGGACACATACGGCCAGACAAAGGTATGCACAGGTGCACACAGTTGCCAACATGCACACCACAGATGCACGCAGATCCCAGCCACACTCCCCAGACCCACCACTTATGGTTAGACACGTAGACATACAAACACGTGGACACATGGGTACACATGCAAACATACCCATCGCGTGCACCACAACCTAGACCTTGGACCACAGACGCCACCTCACCCAGGTCCCTGTGAAGGTCCAGACACAGGAAGGGGGACATGTGGAGATAAGTAACAAAACACATCCCACCCCCACCCAGGAAGCACCACATCGATACACACAGCACACAGCATCTCGGTGCCACGCCACCAAGCACACAGGTGGATGCTCAGCCTGCCACCTGACTTAGGGGGACATCATGCAGGTGCTGGCTATGGGCCTGCAGCCTACCTCCAGGCAGAGACCCCCGGCATACCACCTTCTCCCACCCCCTCAGACTGGGGTCCCCCCATCACAGCTTAAGCCCCCAAGCAGCCTCAGTGGGCACTGCCCTGCAGTGGAGGGGTTGGGAGAGGTGGAGATGAGGTTGTTCCCAGGTTGCTGGTTCACTGAACTGCTCCCGACATCATACTGAGTTAACACAGGCCTGGAGGGCTGACCTGGCCTGGACCAGTTATTAGCGTGGGTGAGTGAAAGTCGTCGCCCTTGCCCTTGGCTTCCCTTGGACCAGATGTGGGCGGGCGTGGGAATACCCTGCCTGGGCTCTAGCAGGCCAGGTGCTGGGCTGGGCTCTCATTCTGTTGATTTTCTCTGGGCACTGTCATACCTCCGTTAGTCCCCCTCATCCTCAGCTGTGCCCTCCCCACTCCCTTCTACAAACAGCTGGAGGAGGCTGAGGGTTCCCTTGGGACTAGCAGGTGCCTAAGGGAGTTAGGGGATTCCATGGCTAGTGGGGGCAGTCAGAGCCCCCCACATCCTGCCTTTGCCCTCAGGGTCTGATGATGAAGGAGCTGGGAGCTGCCTGGGGGTGAGGGAATGGCAGTGACCGCAGAGGCTTCCCATGAGGTGACGGAGAGGTGGGGGCCTGAGGCCAGGTGGGCCGAGAGGGCGTGAATAAGCCACACTGTGTGTTAGGACATCTGTGCACACCTCTTACAAATCTGAGAGCTGTGTAGGTGGGGAGTGGGGGCGGGATGGGGCGTTCATCTGTGTCGCCCTGGGGATGTTTGAGACGGCCTGTGTGCGAATGTGTGTGCATGTCTGTAAGCTCGTATACGCGTATGTGTATTGATGCCTCTGAATGTATTCACGTGTGCTCATGCTTTAATTCATTAACATGCTACTGCCACTGTTCTAAAATACAATGGGGACCAAAATCCAGGCTTTCCAGAGCTCACTTAGGGTGGGGGTGGGGAGACAGGGGCACGGATCTAATAATTATGCACCACAGGGGAGTTGGGTGTTTTGGAGGAGAGGTTCACAGCGTACCCAGGGCCTCTAAGGTGCATCTTTGTGTTTTGCATGCACATGTTTGTGGGCCCACCTCCATGTGTCCATGCACACCCTGTCTGTGTGTCCCTGCACGCCCAGTCTGTGTGTCCATGCATGGCTGCATTAGCCCCTGCACATGTGCATTGCATATCGGGCTTGCCCACATGTGCCTGCAAGGCGTTGTGGGTCAGGGCCCAAGCTGGCGCCCCCTGCAGAGGACTGTGCCTGCCTTCCCAGGAGGCCCAGGACTCTATCCCAGGGCCCTTCCCTGCAGCTGGAGCAGGCAGTGCGGCTGGAGTCTGGGGAGCTGGAAACACAGGAGCCCAGGGGGCTGGCCCGGCAGAGCGTGGAGCTGCGGAGGCAGCTGCAGGAGGAGCAGGCCTCCTACCGGCGCAAGCTGCAGGCCTACCAGGAGGGCCAGCAGAGGCAGGCCCAGCTTGTGCAGCGGCTGCAGGCCAAGGTCAGGGCCACCCACTCCTGCTCCTGCCCGCTCATGCGCTCACTTTGCCCTGCCCCCATCCCCCCGGGGGCTAACCAGTCACTCGCCACCCATCCCCAGATTCTCCAGTATAAGAAGAAGTGCTCGGAGGTGGAGCAGCAGCTGCTGGAGAGAGCCACGGAGCTGGAGCAGCAGCGGCTCAGGGTGGGTGCCAGGGTGGAGCGGAGCAGACCCTTCCCTCCATGTGCCCAGCCTGATGCCCTTACTTCTCCCACCCAGGACACAGAGCACAGCCAAGACCTGGAGAGCGCCCTCATCCGCCTGGAGGAGGAACAGCAGAGGTGGGGTGCAGCAGAGAGGGCTCATGGCTAGCAGGGCTGTCCTCTCTGGCCACCCACCCACTGGTCCCTTCTCCACCCCCGCCCAGAAGCACCAGCCTGGCCCAGGTGAACGCCATGCTCCGAGAGCAGCTGGACCAGGCCAACTCGGCCAACCAGGCTCTGAGTGAGGACATCCGCAAGGTGACCAGTGACTGGACCCGCAGCCGCCAGGAGCTGGAGCAGCGGGAAGCAGCATGGAGGCGCGAGGGAGAGGTGGGTGTCAATGGGGGAGCCAGGAGCCCAGTGGGGCCTGGAGGGTCCAGCCTGACCCGAAGGAAAGGGCCTTTGTAGAGTAGCAAAGACATCGGGAGAGGGGGAGGGAGGGCCCTGCTGCCCAGGTGAGCCCTTTAGAAGAGGTAACTAGTTGTTATAACAACAGCTGGCCTTGATTCACACGTACCACGTGCAGGGAGTGCGGTATCTCCTCCATCTCTCATCATATCTGTATGTGGTAGGGGCTGTCCTCCGTCTAAAGAGAAGTTAAGTAGCCTGACCAGGCACGCAGCTGCCCAGCGGGGATGCAAACCTGCGTCCCTGGCAGTTTCTGCCCTTCCTTGCTGCTTCTCGCAGCAGGTGGAGGCACTGAAATCCAGTTCCCTGTGCCAGCAGGAGGCTTGGGGTGGTGATCTTGCACAGGCCCAGAGCTGGCCCACGGGAAGACCTGTTCCCTGGGCCACGGTGCCTACAGGATGGTCAGAGCTGGGGGAGGAAGCAGGCGGCCCTCCCTCCAGCGCCTCACTCAGCCTGTCTGCTCTCCAGTCTTTCAACGCCTACTTCAGCCATGAGCACAGCCGCCTGCTTCTTCTCTGGAGGCAGGTTGTGGGGGTCCGACGGCTGGTCAGCGAGGTGAAGATGTCCACTGAGAGGTGAGGCCTGGCTGGCAGAGGGGGCGGCTCGGGGAGACACTGCATAGCCCGGAGACAACCCTGCTTTTCAAGTTGAGTTCAACTCAGTTCAGTTGAACTTTGGTCTAAGCCAACATTCCTACTGGGGGCCAGGCCCTACGGAGATGCAGAGGCAACTAGTAATAATTAACTCTTACCAAGATCATGGCAGTCATTTAATATTTACCTAATGTATTTGCTAAATTGACTATTTATAACTAAATGACTAAGACTAAATACTAAATACTGTTTACTCTGAGCTGAGCTCTTTGTACATTTTATTTCATCTCATCCATAGTGTCCCTGTGAGGTAAGAACTGTAATGATCCCCATTTTACAGATGAGGCCACTGAGGCTCAGAGAGGTGAAGTGACTTTCCCAAGGTTTTACACAGCAGTGTGTGGCTGAGTCAGGATTCGCAGCTTCTGCTTTTAATCCACTGGAATATTCAGCTTCTGCTACCAAGGACCTCACAACCTCTAGTGAGGAAAAGATGTAGACACACCCCAAAAAAAAATTTTGACCGAGGAATTGAGTGGTCAGTGACATGAATGGGGAACAGGGGGGATGTCCCGAATGCTCAGAAGGATGGGAGGGGTAGGGAGGTCAGAAAATGCTTCCCAGAGGAGGTGGAATTTGCACTGACCTCAAGGGATGGGTGGCTTTTAACCGGCAGAGCTGGGGGCACTTGAGGCAGAGAGCAGCAGGAGCAAAGACAGAGGTGGGAGGAAATGCAGCCAGTGGGGTTGAAGCAGAAAGCAAGTGAAAGGAGGTCAGGTTGGAAAAGAGCCTCCAAGGCCCCCTGCAGCAGGGGACTTGGTCCTGCTGGATCTCTGAGCAGGTGATGCTGCGGGAAGATCCCAGAGGCGGGTGGACCAATTTGTTTCCTTTGGTACCGTAAACATTTGTCTAATTGATGATCTTTTGTTAAAATCATCTGGTATTCACTCATTGTCTGAATTTCCAGTTGACTTGTCAGTGTCCCAGATAGTTTTGCTTCAGTTTTTGTCTTTACAGTTGTTCGAATCAGGATCCAGAGACAGTCACAAAATGTGATTGGCTGATTGGTCTTTTTAAGTCTCATAATGTTTGTTCAGGAAAGTGGGACAATTGTCCTTAGAGATTCTCAGTCTGGATTCCATGATATTGTTTAACACCTCTGTCCCCTGTAGTCCCTGTAAATTGGATGTTGGATTTAAGACTTGATCAGATCCAGGTTCGGGTTCTGTTTTGTGGTGTGGTGTGTGTGTGTGTATGTATGTATGTATGTATGTATTTATTTTAAGTGGAAGTATGGGAGATTGAACCTAGGACCTCGTGGATGCTAAGCACACACTGTATCCCTGAGCTGTAACCTACCCCCCTGTTTTGTTGTGTTTTGACAAGACTTCTTCCTAAGTGCTGTGTGCTCTGCCATCGGGAGCCTCTCTTTTTGTTCACTGGCAGCCCTTGGATGCTCAGTGCCAAGGTCTAGACACCCTTCAGAGGTTGCAAAATCGTGATTGTCTTATTCTGTCACTTCTTCCTGTATTGACAGGAACTCTTCTATAATGAGGCAATTCCCCTCCTTACCATGAGATACCCAATGCTGCAGCTCATTCGGGACAGGGGAGGGTTTAACCTACTTGATGTATTTAAACCATGTTTTATTTTTAGTTAGCATTTAAACTTTTAACATTTTACTTTGGAATAACTCACATATTCACAAGGTTCAAATTTCAAATTTGAAAAAGTCTCCCTCCCACCTCTGGCCCAGACATTCAGGCTTATTTGACACAAGCAAATACAGCAGATCATACACATCCCGTCTCTCCCCTGCTTTTTATTTAATTTTATTTTTTGTGTGGGGGGAGGGGCGGTAATTAGGTTTTTACTTATTTGTTTGTTTAGTTTTAATGGCGGTACTAGGGATTGAACCCAGGACCTCGTGCATGCTAAGCACATGCTCTACCAGTGAGCTATACCCTCCCCCCTCCCCTGCTTTTAAAAATATACTCCTAGTAGACTTTCATCTTTGCAGTTCTTGAAGATGCTTTGTTCAGCTAATAGTTGTAACTGGGAGGTGGCTCCATCTCCGGCTCTAAAGAGCTTCCCCATTCACTTTTCTTGGCTCCATAGTAACCCACTGAATGGAAGTATCGTGATTTATTTAACAGCAGCTCCCTTTCAATAGGTATTTAGGTTGCCACCAGTATGTCCTGTATAAGCGGGGGTGGGGTCACCCTATACATGAGTCATTTTCCTTGTGTTGGGACACATCTGTAGAGTAAATTCTGAGAGGTGGAGTTGGTGGGACATAGAGCCTATTCAGTTACGGTTTTCAGAGCTCTTCCTGGTTGCCCTCTGTGTGGTTAAATGCGCCCTCCCCTCCTGCCAGCAGTGTAGGGAAGGGCCCGTTTCCCCGCAGCCTCACCTACACTGTGCATTATGTGACTTTTTGTTCCCAGTCTGAGAGTGACAAATAGCATCCCACTGTAGTTTTAATTTATGCTTAGGAGCCCACCTCCCCATCCCATCCCCATGCTGTGTTCTCTCCACCAGGGACCTACTGCAGCTGGGAGGGGAGCTGGCCCGGACTTCACGAGCCGTCCAGGAGGCGGGCCTGGGGCTGAGCACAGGCTGGCGACTGGCCGAGAGCCGGACCGAGGCAGCCCTGGAGAAGCAGGCCCTGCTTCAGGCCCAGCTGGAGGAGCAGCTACGGGACAAGGTGCTCCAGGAGAAGGACCTGGCCCAGCTGCAAGTGCAAACCAACCTGGACAAGGCTGACCTCAGTGCCAGGTGGGTGCCTGGCAGGCCTCCCTGCAGAGTGTGCCCCTGGAGATGTGGGGAGGAGGGGATGTCTCTCCACTGGGGATGGGTCCTTCCCCTGTGTGAGCTCAGCTGGTCTTTCCAGGCACCCGGGTGCCTGAGGGGGAGAAGGAGGTTCAGAGGGCCCCTGCCCAGGGCACATCACGAGCAGTTCAACCTCTGCTCCTGTGGTCTGGACAAGTCCCCGCGTGCTTTCCCATGAGATAAAGTGGATGGCTGCTTCATTCTCATTTGTAGATGAGAAGCCTGAGGCTCAGGAAGGAGACGGACTTGCTCCAAGTCCCACAGCAAGGGAGGCGAGTCCTAGGGTCCCTGCCGCAGGTTTGGGGAAGCAGGCAGAACACAGAGCTGGTGGCTTTGAGGAGACGTGCTGGGTGGGTCTCCAATTCACCTGTGTTGCTCCCCCTTCTCCAGAGTGACAGAGCTGGCCCTGACAGTGGAGCGCCTTCAGAACCAGAATCTGGAGAAGGATCAGCTCAACAAGGCCCTCACGGAGAAGCTCGAGGCCCTGGTGAGATGCAGGAGGGGACGGGGGAACCGACCAGATCCATGGACACAGGGCTGGGTTGCTTGGGCCACCCCTGAGCATCCATCCCACTCAGACTCAGTTGTACCCTCTCATTAATTGAGCACCTAGTGTGTGCCAGCCTTAGTGGTAAGCACACTCACCTCCTTTATCCCTTTTCATCCTCTCAGCAGCCCTGTAGCATGATCCCCATTATACACATAAGGACCCCAAGGCCCAAGGGGAAATACTTGTCCAGAGCCTCAGAGCCAGTAAGCTGGGGAGTCAGGACTTGGATTCATGCCTGGTCTTTGTCTTCCCAACACCACTCCAGGAATCCCTGCGGCTCCAGGAGCAGGCAGCCCTGGAGACAGAGGATGGAGAGGGGCTGCAGCAGACTCTGAGGGACCTGGCACAGGTCTGAGATGGGAGGGAGCCGGGAGAAGCCAGAAGGGGTGGGAGCCCTGAGCAGGGGGAGGCCAGGCAGTCCTGGGCCACCACATCCTCTGGTGGCCTCGAGCTGAACTGCAAGTGGGCGGGGGCCCTGGAGACCTAGGCAGCTGTTTAACACCCTGGCGAGCTCAACCCAAACTCTGCCCCCTGGGGGAGCTCCCTGTCTGAGGAAAGGCACCGCTTGTTCCCGGCCCATCTGTGAGAAACGCTGAATCATGTCTTTGAAATAAGTGGGACCTTCCTCATCTGGTGGGCTGAGGACTGGGAGCTGGCGGTGGTGGAACCAGGGAGACTTCCTGTGGGAAGGGAGCTTAGAATGTGCTGCAGGGTTTGGGATGAAACTGGACACCTGGTCCCCGGCAGCCTCCCTAGGCTTCTTTGCCCAACTAACCCCTTAGCTCCCCTCTTCTTTCTGCCTCACTAACGCACCCTCAGGCCGTCTTATCGGACATGGAGAGCGGCGTCCAGTTAAGTGGCTCTGAGCGGACAGCCGACGCGTCGGACGGCAGCCTGCGGGGGCTCTCAGGGGCCCGGACCCCGTCCCCACCGAGGCGCTCCTCGCCTGGCCGCGGCCGCTCCCCACGCCGAGGCCCGTCCCCAGCCTGCTCTGACTCCTCCACGCTAGCCCTGATCCACTCGGCTCTGCACAAGCGCCAGCTGCAGGTCCAGGTAGAAAGGGGCCTGAGTGTCCCAGACTAGAGTCCAGGAGGAGGGGCATGGGCAGCCTGGGGGCGGAGCTAGGGTCGTAGGGGAGGAGCCCGGGCATCCTAGGCTAGAGCCAGAGCCCTGAGAAAGGGCAACCCACGGAGGAGGCTGAGAGCTCTGCCTTGGAATCTGAGCCTAGAGTGGGAGGGGTTTAAGCACCTGGGGGCGGAGCCTGGGTGAAGCTCCAGTCCTGGTATAGAAAGGGAGATGAGGTTACCACCCTGAGCAAGGAAGCCTTAGGGGAGTCAGAAGCAGGAAGGGGAAGGATTGTGCTTTGTGCTTTTCTGGCACCCTGGGGACCCAGGTCAGACTTGCTGGGGACCCCAGGGAGATGGAGGCTCAGAGCTCTGGCAGAGGTCTTAGAAGGGTGAAGCACAGTGAAGGAGAGTGGAAACCCACTCTGGGCTCTTAGCTTCACTCCACTGCCCCAGGCCTGGACATGGGCCTGGGCCGCAGAGTAGGCTGGTCTACATCCTGCAGAGAGCAGAGGGGGAGCTTCCCAGGGCTCCCCCAGACTCAGTGATTCCCACAGGACATGCGTGGGCGCTATGAGGCCAGCCAGGACCTCCTGGGCACCCTGCGGAAGCAGCTTAGCGACAGCGAGGGTGAGCGCCGTGCCCTAGAGGAACAGCTGCGGCGCCTACGGGACAAGAGCGACGGGGCCACCCAGGCCCAAGAGGATGCACAGCGCGAGGCCCAGCGCCTGCGCAGTGCCATTGACCTCCTGAGCAGGTGCCGGGAGGTCAGAGGTGGGGGACCCCGGGAATAAATCAGTTTCTGGGCCTATCGCCAGCCCGAGCCTGTGAGCACGTGGATTTGCACTAATATGGTGGCAACTAGCCACATGTGTCACAATTTTAAGTTAATTAAACATTTATGGAAGTAAAAACTCATCCCCTCAGTTGCACTAGGCACATTTCAAGGGCTCAGTAGCACATGTGACTAGAAGACATTTCCGTCATCTCCAAGAGTTCTGTTGCCAGTGGTATTCCAGATTCTGTTTCTTGGAGGTTTTGGAGACAAGAGATTATCCACTCTTAGCTGCCTGGTTGTTTCTGATTTTTTGTTCTTGTTTTTTGGGTTTTCTCTTCATAAATGTAACTGCATAATAAAAAGTTTGATGAAATGGAGGGGAAATAAAAAGGCAGGACCTCCTCACAGCCTCTCCTGCCCATCCTAACCGCTGTTGATGCACTGGCTCTGCTTCCCGTGGCTTGGAAGGAGAAAGGTTATTTATGTAGTTGTGTTCCCAGTGAACACTTCATCTTGCATTCTACTATTCTTTTTCTTAATTTCATGTTGTATGTCTTCTCCCACCTACTGCCAGCCTTCACGTCTAGTGTATTGACTGGTTGTCACATTGAGTGAAGGGGATGGCAGTGGAGGATACGACCACAGTCAGCCCTAATCCTGGGCTGGAAATCCCTGGCTTGGAAGGCGCCTGCTCCCTCCCCTGCCCTGGCTGCCACTTGCTCTTGGCCTGTGCAGCAGGCAATTGTGGAATCTGGACAGACCCAGCTCTACTGGGCCTCCCAGAACTGAGGGGCGTGGGGTGCTGTAGGGGGCATTTCCTGGTCATACAGGCTAGCAGAACTGGCAGCAACATTGCTCAAATGTCGCAGGAGCCTAGCCTGGCATCTTCGCCTGGTGGGGTATTTGGAGATAATGCCAGTGCCCAGTTCCACTGGGCCTCCCATTGGGCTGGTTGAGGGGAAAAGGAAAGCTGGGTTCCCTCTGCTGGGAAGAGTCAGCTCCAGGGAGATGCGGATGAAATGAGGGGGCCATACTTAGGGTCAGGGAAGGCTTCCTAGAGGCAGGTGCCTTGGAAGATGGGAGATATGGCTTTTGGCTAAGACAGCAGCATGGCCGTCTTCCCTGGTGGGAGCGGCCCCAGCATCCCCTTCAGCTCCCCATCCCCTTGTCCTGCAGGGAGAAGGACAGCCTGGCCCACAGCCTGCAGGTGGCCCAGCAGCAGGCTGAGGAGCTACGGCAGGAGCGGGAGAAGCTGCAGGCGACCCAGGAGGAGCTGCGGCGCCAGCGGGACCAGCTGGAGGAAGAGCGGGAGGACACAGCGCAGGACAGTGCGTGGACCCGCAGGGAGCTCGAGCGCAGGTGAGTGGCTTCTGGCTCCCTGCCAAGGCCACTTATGTGGGCCATGGGGCTGCAGACTGTGTCCCTGGGGGCTCGGGAACACCTCCTGTGTCCTGGGCTTCCTACTGTCTCAAGGAGTCCTCAGGGCACCCCTCTGATGTAGGGTCTTCAACCAGTCCCATTTCAGGAAACTGAGGCTCTGGGAGGTATAGTCATTTACCTGAGATCGGAGAACTGGTAGGAGGTAGAGTATGGATGATGATAACGACAACAACTGAAGTAACAGCAGTAACGTGAATACTATTTTCTGAACTTAACGTTACAATAATGACACTAATATTACTGGGTGCCGGACACCGTTTTAAGCACTTAGAGTCTCTTATTTAACCTCCACAATAACTCTACGATGTAGGAGCTATTAGTATCTTCATTTTATGGATGATGAAACTGAGGCACAGAGAGGTCATGTAACTTACCCAAGGTCACACAGCTAGTTAGTGGAAGAGCCAGGATTTGAACCCAGTCATTGTGCCTTCTTAACCACGTTGATGTTCACTTCTCTGAGGCATAAGTAGCAGTGGTGTTTAGTACACCGTGGTAGTGGAGAGAATTCTTGTTTCCTAAGGCCCTTGGGGAGTTATGTCAGGCGTTATTGTAAGCACTTCATACAGGCTAAGGTCACATAGCCTTATAACAACTTCATGAGGTGGGTGTTGCCCCATTTTGCAGATGTGAAAACTGAGGTCCAGGGTCACAGTGGGTTTGGCTATTCTTGTAGGGGGGGCTCCTGCCTCGGATCTGCCCCCTGGCTGCATGTCTGGCTGTGGGAGACTCAGGGCAAGGAAGTGACATGGGACCCCTCACCCTCTGTCCCACAGCCATAGGCAACTGGAGCAGCTGGAAGTGAAGCGCTCTGGGCTGGCAAAGGAGCTGGTGGAGGTGAGGGAGGCGCTGAGCTGTGCCACACTGCAGCGGGACATGCTGCAGGCTGAGAAGGCCGAGGTGGCCGAGGCGCTGACCAAGGTGGGTCCCTGTTTGCCACACCACCACCCACCCACCTCTACCCTAGACCCTAGGCCTTCCCGCTCCAGCCACAGACGAACCCCCTTGACCCTGGTCACAGATTGATCCCTTCCTTCAGGACTCAGGCTGACCTTTGACCCAGGCCATAGACTGACCTCTGATCCCAGCCATAAGTGGACTGACCTTTATGACTAGCCATAGCTTTTCCAGATGCTCCTGGGACAGTGCCCTTAGGTCAGGTCATCCAGTCCCATCTCTGGACATAGGTCCTGGGGGCTGGGAGAATTAGGGGCACAGCCCTCGGTCAGTGACGGCACCACTCCCTATGGTCTGGGCCCTGAGCAGTGCTGCCCAAGACCCTGCTCTGGGGCACCCTCTGACCGCTGGCTAGAGCTGGCCTCATTTGTTCTTGCACAGCTCCGGGCGCGTGGCTTCATCGGCAGCAGGCCATCCTGCTGTGATTTTTTTCTGTCTTGTATTGTATCTCCCTCCTTGTCTCCCCTACCCTGGCTCTGTGGGCCCTGTGCTCTGTGACTCCTGCCTCTTCCCTCTTGTCTCTCTACGTCTCTGCACACCTTTTCCCATCTCTCTCCATCTCTCCCGGCCTGACCGTCTCTGGCCGCCCCGGTCCCCGTCCTGCAGGCTGAGGCTGGCCGCGTGGAGCTCGAGCTCTCAATGACCAAGCTGAGGGCGGAGGAAGCCTCTCTGCGGGACTCCTTGTCCAAGCTGAGCGCCCTGAACGAGAGTCTTGCCCAGGACAAGCTGGGTCTGAATCGCCTCGTCGCCCAGGTATGCCGTGTGCCAGTGGGCCCTCCTGCCTTGCTCACCTGTCCCCCCACTCAGAGACCCCACGGAGGCACCCCAACCTCAGCCCGCACCCCCACATCTCCCTGTATACCTCTGTCCCTCTGTTTTGGTCTCTGCCTCTTTCTGTCTCTGTGCTGTCTCTGACTTCGTCTGTCTGTCGGTCTTCTCTCTCATGGTCTGAGACACCAGAGGCCCTTCCTTCCTTCTCCTCCTCCCCAGTGTCCACATACCCTAGGGTATCACCCCTTCCCCCCAGGGAGGCTTCCCTGGGCTGGCCGTGATAGGTGGGTGCATCCCAGGTGGGTCCTCTTCCTGGGATGAGGGGCTGGGCTGATCTCACTCGCCTCCACCTGGCCCCCTCAGCTAGAAGAGGAAAAGGCAGCCCTGCAGGGCCGGCAGCGGCAGGTGGAGCAGGAGGCCATCTCGGCGCGGGAGGAGCAGGAGCGGCTGGAGCAGCTGCGGCTGGAGCAGGAGGTGGAGCGGCAGGGCCTGGAGGGCTCCCTGCGGGTGGCAGAGCACGCCCGGGAGGCCCTGGAGCACCAGCTCCCCACGCTGCACCAGGAGCGCTGCCGGCTGCAGGAGCAGCTGGCCCAGGTGGGTGTATGTTGGGGATGGGGAGCAGGTGAGGCAGGGGTTCTGGGCTCCTAGCATCCTGTCCTAGGGGAAGTCTCAGGCTCAGGGGCCTGATCTGGGCTGAAATCCAGCCCCACCTCTGCTAGCGTGGGGCCCTTGGGCAGGCTCCCCAACCTCCCCGTGCCTCAGTGACCCCATCTGTAACATGGGGCTAATAGTTCTTATCACGAAGGGTTGTTCTGAAGAGTACACCATGTAAGTAAGCACTTAGCAGAGACGAATCACCACTCAGTACACATTACTGATACGATAATAGGCAGAGAATTTTAGAATTGGAATCTTAAACTTGGGAAATCATAGCTGGAAGGGACCCTAGATTTCCAGGGATCCAGAGGCCTTTATATGGTGTGTGTCCTGGAGGTCCTGGCTTCCTGGGAGGGGCCTCTAGGGAACAGACCATGCGGGTCAGGGAGCTGGGCTGAAGGTCCCACTCTTGAAGCCTGCAGAGCAGCTCTCCTTCGGTCTCTTTTATATATTCAGCTTCTCTGGATGTTCTGGGGAACAGAAAGGATTGGATTACTACCCAAACTAAGTGAGGACCCTGATTTTTGAATGCGTGTGCGCTGCAGATCCAGAGAAGGCTGTGATTTGTCCAAGTGCACACAGCACATCAGAGTAGAGCCTGAGCTTGAACCTGGTCTCCTGCCTGCCAGGGCCACATCAGGCCTGGATTTGAGGTGCTGCATGATAAGCAGGATGGGGGGGTTCTAGGGTGGGGCTCACAGTGTCTGGGGTGGGGGCCAGCTCTCCCGGCAGCTGAGCGGGCGGGAGCAGGAGCTGGAGCAGGCACGGCGGGAGACGCAGCGGCAGGTGGAGGCACTGGAGCGGGCGTCCAGGGAGAAGGAGGCGCTGGCCAAGGAGCGGGCCGGCCTGGTGGTGCAGCTGGCGGCTGCTGAGCGTGAAGGCCGGACCCTGTCGGAGGAGGCCACCCGCCTGCGGTAAGGCCTTGGGCACTGCCCACCCCACCCTTGGGAGTCTGCTTGGGGCCACGCCATGACCAGCCACACCTGGCATCACCCCACAGGGGCAGTTACTTAGGAGCTGGCTTGCCAACTCATCTAGCGAGAGCTTAGGCCTCCGCAGGGAGTGTGGGCCCGGCTGGGCAGGTAGGCTGGCACCTGGCCTGTGGCTGGCCACGCCCTGGGATCCACAGTTTCCTGGGGCCCAGGAGGCTGAGTCCCAAAGCCTTAGGGATCGTGTATGCTGCAGCTTGGAGAAGGAAGCCCTGGAGAGCAGCCTGTTTGAGGTGCAGCGGCAGCTGGTCCAGCTCGAGGCCCGGCGAGAGCAGCTGGAAGCAGATGGGCAGGCCCTGCTGCTGGCCAAGGAGACCCTGACTGGTATGGGGGCCCGGGTGCATGGCAGGGACCACCAGGCTCCAGCCTGACTGTAAGCTGTTGAGTTCTGAGATCTCATCAAAGCTGGGATCACTGGCTTTGGAGTGTAGCTGACCTGGGAACCAATCCTGCCACTTTCCCAAGCCAGCCCCTTCCCTCTCTGATAATGCCCACCTTCTGAGGCTTTGCCAGGATGAGGTGAGAAAAGCCTGGCCTTGGCACAGGGCGTGGCTCAGCCAACGGTGGCTGTTGTTTACCGTCATCGGGGCATGTAGAGAGTTCTGAGTTTCTGCGGAGACATTGGCAGCTTTTCCAACGACTCAGTCTCTGAACTCAGGGGTTTTCCTTGCTCGGTAAATGTTTACTGAGCACCTACTTGGATCATGAAAGTTAATTTTCCCACCCACGTACACCTGAGCCAGACAGAACCAGGAAGGGAAATGCTGACAGTCTCTGGTGGGCTTCCAACTTGGAGGATGGTTTATAGATTGTCCACACTGTGGGGTCACCCTCCCCATGGACCCCTTCACTAGTGCTGACAGTCCCCCAAGTGTGCTTAGGGCAATCAGTCATTAAAGGAGATGCCTTAGGAAAGCTGTGCAGCCTTGAAAAGTTACCTGTCTCCTCTGAGCCTCCATGTCCTCATGTGTAAATTGGGGATGAGATATGTTACTTAGGCATGTTGTGAAGCTACGATGCCGCTAGACCTGTCAAGAGCTCAGCCAGGGGCCCGCCCATAGTAAACACTTAGTCAGTGATGTGAATTGTTACGTTTTTGCTCTCCTTCCCATTTGGGGGTCCTCCTCATCAGTCATTTCATCCCTTTGATGCCATTTCAGGTAGGGAGGGAGGAGGACAGGGTCAGTGGGCAGCAGATAGGAGGACAGGGTCAGTGGGCAGCAGATAGGGAAACTGAGGCCCGGAGAGGGTGAGAACCTTCTCCAAGGGAACTCAGCCTAGATACTAGGTGGGCCCTCTGCCCTCTGGGATTTTGCCCACGTGGTTCACCTGGCCTGAGTCTCCCGGCCCACTGGGAGGTTCCAACCAAAGCCTGACCCTCCTTCCCCTCCCTCCTGTGCAGGGGAGTTGGCAGGCCTGCGGCAGCAGATGACAACTACAGAGGAGAAAGTGGCTCTGGACAAGGAGCTGATGGCCCAGAAACTGGTGCAGGCTGAGCGGGAGGCCCAGGCCTCTCTGCGGGAGCAGCGGGCAGCCCACGAGGAGGACTTACAGCGACTTCAGCGAGAGAAGGTTCAAGCAGTTGGGTTGGGGCAGGCGAAGGGCTCTGAACCACTGTCTCTGTCTCCTCTGTCTCCTCAGTAGGGATAATGATAGTGTTATTATGAGGATGAAAGTGGGATAATCTATAAAAAGGGCTTAGTGAAGAGACTGGCACTTTGTAAATGCTCCATAAATGCAGGTTGATTTTATCTTTTTTTGGTGGGGGGTAATGAGGTTTATTTATTTATTTTCGGAGAATGTACTGGGGATTGAACCCAGGACCTTGTGTATGCTAAGCATGCACCCTACCACTTGAGCTATACCCTCTGCCATGAATGCTGGTAATTATAATTATGTATTTATGGTACTCTTCAGAGCAAGTCTTGGGCTGGGCTGCCTCTGACAGACTCCAGGGGGCGCCATTCACCCTGTAGTCCTGGGATTTGGGTGGGTAGTACCAAACGTCTCCAGCAGGTGGCGGCAGAGCACTCGAAGCAGGGGCGCCTCTGTTTTCACATAGCTGCTGGGGGCTAGTGCTGGGGCCAGGCTTAGACCCCATGTGGGCTTTGCCGGTGGGTTGTCCCCACCCACCCAGTCCCCAGGGAACCAAACTCTGTGCCCTTCCTCACTCCCCCTGACAGCCTCTTAATGTCACTAGATCTGTACCCTTCTCTCCAGCCACTCTGCCATCCCCAGACCCAAGCCCATTTACTGCTCACTCTTCTCCACCCCAGCCCCCGCTCCCGGTCCCTCTTCCACAAGCTCTGAAAAATCTGCTATTTGAAAATGCAGATTGCTCCTCGTCACCCTGGCTTGACTGAGGCTCTCTGTGGCCCCAACCATCCTCAGAATCAGACCACCACTCCCTGCAGCCCAGTGGCCTAGTCTGGCCTGGCTGCTTGCCTGTGGCTCTGGTCTGATCCTTCACCATGACCCCCTCGTGGTCCCAGCTCCAGTGACCTTAAATACTGTGGTTTCCCCATACATCACGTTTCTTCTTTCTTCCGGGCCGTCTCCAGGGCTGGACTCTGGCCTGGGGTTCTTCTTCTTTTCTCTCTACCCAGCTGACTGCTGCTCGTTTCCTCCAGGAAATGTTCTCTGACACTCCCCCTCCCCCAGGCCAGGCCGCTGCTGCTCCTTGTGGTCACCTGGTCACCTGCCCTGTGGCCCCTGCTGCCCTGAGGTTGGTGAGGGGCTGCCTGGGCCCAGCCTCGTGGGTCACATGTGTCTGGGCCTGGCCCCCAGGAGGCAGCATGGCGGGAGCTGGAGGCCGAGCGGGCTCAGCTGCAGAGTCAGCTGCAGCAGGAGCGGGAGGAGCTGCTGGCCCGGCTGGAGGCCGAGAAGGAGGAGCTGAGTGAGGAGATCGCAGCCCTGCAGCAGGAGCGTGACGAGGGCCTCCTCCTGGCTGAGAGTGAGAAGCAGCAGGTTTGTGAGCCCTGCTGTGGCGTCCACTGCTGCCCAAGGGGCCCCTGTTCTGGGGCTGGTCTCTGCTCAGCCACCCAGCAGCTCGGAGCTAGGAGTCCTTTTCTGGGCCTCAGTTTCCTCACCTGCAGGATGGGGGGATTAGAGGGGTGTTTGCAAGGCATCACTGAGACCCCTAGTCAGCGAGCCATGTCTGGCACACAGTGGACACTTACTGAGCCACATTCTCCCATCCCTCCTCCCACCCCAGGCTGGGCATGGCGTCCCCATGACCGCCTCTGAGCAGTCCCTGTGAAGCCCACATGTATCAGCTGACCTTCCTCAGAAAAAACTAACTTCTGACTTTCCCATAATGTCATCAAGACAGTCAGGGCAGGCTGCATCCATGTCCTCTCCTCACCCGGTGCATCACCCCGGGCAAGTCACTTTACCTCTTTGAGCCTCAACAACTTCATCTGTAAAATGGGAATAATGAAGCGCCTTGCTTCAGGATTGTTGTGACAAGTTAGTGAAATCTCTAAGTTGTGTCCATGTCCAGGTTATTGTTACGGCTATTGTACCCTTTCCTGGGGCTGCAGACGGGTGAGCCTGCACCTCTGCCCTGGCTCCACCTGTGGGGGCCCGGTCAGGTCCCCAAGCCCCCAGGGAGCATATTTCCCAGGGCAGGGTGGGGGTAGGGCTCGAGCCCTTTGCTCCCTGCCTCTGCCCAGGCCCTGTCCCTGAAAGAGTCTGAGAAGACGGCACTGTCAGAGAAGTTGATGGGGACACGGCACAGCCTGGCTGCCATCTCCCTGGAGATGGAGCGACAGAAGCGAGATGCCCAGAGCCGCCAGGAGCAGGACCGGGTAGGGCAACTGGGGGGCAGAGGTGAGGTGCAGGCAGGCCTCCATCTGAGACACAGCCCTGGAGGAGGCTCCTGCCTGAGGGGGAGGCGTGGCTCTGCCCTGGGGCAGCCTCTAGTCTGAGGGCTAGGCCAGCTACTCTAGGCATTAAGGGATCAGCAGAGGGCCTGGTAGGCCAGTGGAAGCGGCTATGTAGGGAGCAGAAAGTGGACAGTCAGCTGGCCCAGTTGGGATCAGCAGGGGGAGGGGGATGCCGAAGCACCAAGCCTGAAGAGCCCATCCGTCCTAGAGCACCGTGAACACCCTGACCTCTGAGCTGCGGGACCTGCGGGCCCAGCTTGAGGAGGCGGCTGCAGCCCACGCCCAGGAGGTGAAGCGGCTGCAGGAGCAGGCCCGAGACCTGGGCAGGCAGCGGGAGTCCTGCCTGCGCGAGGTGAGCTGCCCGCCTGCCCTCTTCCTTTTCCCACAATGCACCCTCAATGCCTCTGGGGGCCCAGAAAGGTGCCAGATTTGTCCCTGCATTCAAGAACAAATGAATGAATGAAAGAAAGGAGGCAGCAAGCATTTATTAACTACCTGCTGTGTACACACGCTTGGGACTTGGGCTATCAAGGAGAGGCTGATGGGGTCCCTGCCCTCTTGAGGTCCAGCCACGGGATAATCCTGATTGATGATTATTTCAGGCCAAAACACTGCTGACTCAAGCATGTTTTGCTGGAAATCATAACTCACACCTGCATTCTGAATCACGCCAGAGGGATGGGGCAGATCCCCTGTGGCCAGGTGCCCCATGGCCAGGGATATGGGGATGGACTGGTTGCCGCCAAGGCCCAGCTTGAGTGGGGCCTGAGCCCCATCCTGTCATCACAGGCAGAAGAGCTGAGGACCCAGCTGCGCCTGCTGGAGGATGCCCGTGACGGGCTGCGGCGGGAGCTGCTGGAGGCCCAGCGCAAGGTGCGCGAGAGCCAGGACGGCCGCGAGGCCCAGCGCCAGGAGGTGGGCGAGCTGCGGCGCAGCCTGAGCGAGGGGGCCAAGGAGCTGGAGGCCCTGCGGCGGTCTAACGAGGAGCTGCGGGCTGCCGTGAAGAAGGCGGAGAGCGAGCGGATCAGGTGGGGTGACCGGGTGCCCAGCTCCCAGCCCTTCACCGAGCTGTGTCCTTTCTTCCCACGGAATCTCATCCCTGGAACCTAACTTCACCCCCAGGGTTCTGGGGACACAGTGCAGATGGGGAGTCTCTGCCCTGGAAGCAAGCCCGGACTTGGGTCACTTTAGGTGATTTTTCTATCTGAGGGAAGGGGAACGGTGGCCCCAGGCAGTGTTGGGCCCCGACTCTGACCCCATCTGCTGGCATCAGCCTGGAGACTAGTGTGCACCCCTGACCCTGAGTTGCTGGTTCACCTCTCCCAGCCAAGGTCCCCAGCCCTTGAGGGCTCAGCTCAGGCGAGGACATGGGGCACCTCCTGGCCAGGACCCTGGCACACCATTCCAGGAATCAGGGGAAGGGATTTTCGTGTAAGGCCACACACTGTATTCTTGCCAGGACCCGGGGCTGCCTCTGACATCTGCCCTCTGCTCCCTCCAGCCTGAAGCTTGCCAATGAGGACAAGGAGCAGAAGCTGGCACTCCTGGAGGAGGCGCGGGTGGCCGTGGGCAAGGAGGCCGGGGAGCTGCGGGCCGGGCTGCAGGAGGTGGAGCGCTCACGGCTGGAGGCTCGGAGGGAGCTGCAGGAGCTTCGGCGGCAGGTACCTTCCCCAGTTCCACGCCTTCCCCAGGCACTTTGCTGTGTGTCTCTAGGCCGACAGTACCCCCTTCCTGAAGCCAAAGTCCCTCATGTAAAACCAGGGGCTTGAACTATAGCAAGGCTTCTCACCTAACTTTAGTATGAATGGATGGGCTTTGAGGAGCCCTCAGACCCTGAAACCATGTGTTTGTGTGTGTCTACGTTTGTGTCCACGCTCATTCACCATTCACATTTCTCCGAAGACTGAATCTGGGGCCCTTGTCTAATTCTCAAAGGAGCCTGTGAACAACAAAGAGGTGCAGACCCCATGGACTAGATTAGGAGCTGGCAAAAGTTTTTGTAAGGCGCCCAATGGTAAATATTTTGAGCCTTATGGGCCTTACAGTCTCTGTTGCATCCACTCAACTTGGCCATTGTGGGGAGAAGGCAGGCCTAGATGGTACCAACATGAGTAGGAGTGTGTTCCATTAAAACTTTGTTGATGGACACTGAAATGTGAATTTCATATAATTTTCATATGTCAAAAATATTGTCCTTCTTTTGATTTTCTTTCACCCATTTAAAAATGAGCCGTTTTAAGGGATGACTATAGCTCAGTGGTAGAGCTCATGCTTAGCGTGCATGAGGTCCTGGATTCAATCCCCAGTACTGCCACTGAAAAAAAAAAAAAAGCCATTTTCAACTGTTTCAAAATGTACAAACTATCCTTAGCCCAAGGCCTTTATAGAAGCAGGTGACTGGTGGAATTTGGCCTGCAGAGTTTGGCCTACAGTTTGCTGAGCCCTGAACTAGATAATCTCCAAGCTCATCAACAACAGCAAGCATTTAACAAGTGCCTGCTGTATACTGGGCACTGCCCTGGACACTGAGGGCTCAGGCATTCCCACTCTAGAAAACCGGCAGAACGGGAAACAGCCCCATTTGGGCCCAGGCCCTGCCTCCCTCAGAGATGTCACAGCCTGAAGGAGAAACCCCGTTCACCTCCCACCAGTTCACCCCTCTACCCGGGCCCCTTCCTGTTGGACTGATGTCCTGGGAAGCCACAGGAGCCGCTGAAAGGAACTCATGTCTGTGTGCCAGGCTCTTGCTGGGTGTTTTACATGCTATAGCATGTTCTCCTGTTCCCTTCCTTACAGCACAGTGAGGTAGGTAGGCCTCACCCCCCACCTGCTCCTCTGGGGAAATAGGGGGCCCAGAACATTCCTTTGATTCAACTTGTCTGAGGTCAAATCCCAGTCTCCTGCTTATGGGCTGTGTGACTTTGGGCAAGTCACTTTACATCTCTGAGCTTTAGTTTTCTTATCTGTTAAGTAGAATAATGTTAGTACCTACCCCACATAGAGTTGTGTGAAGGTTAAATGATTTAATTCGAGTGCGGTGCTTAGAACAGGGATGGACACATGGTAAGCACTCCATAAAAGCTAAGCATTATTGTAGAAGTGAAAGGTGATGCAGAGAGCTGTGGTTCCTGCCCTGCAGAACTCCTAGGGGTTCAGCACTCCCTTCCTGCCTCCGCATGACATGTAGTTGTGATTAGGTGGTACAGAGGTCATTGGTGCCCAGGTGCCTGGCATGGCTTGACCTCTGTGGAGTTATCAGGGGCAGGCTCCCAGTGGATTGGAATGGTGTTCACTGTATGTGTCCCTAGAGCAGTGGGTCCTGAGTGCCCTCTGTGCCAGGTCTGGACTAGGCAGCTGAACAGGCTGCTGTGGGAGCCTGCGGGCACTCACCAACACCCTGGGCTCAGAGGGGCTGTGGGTGCTGAGAATGGGTCCTAAGTCCTGTCTGTGTCTGCTTTCTCTCCCAGATGAAGATGCTGGACAGTGAGAACGCCAGGCTGGGCCGGGAGCTGGTGGAGCTACAGGGCCGCTTGGCACTGGGCGAGCGGGCAGAAAAGGAGGGCAGACGGGAGGCCCTGGGCCTCAGACAGAAGCTGCTGAAAGGCGAGGCCAGCCTGGAGGCCATGCGGCAGGAGGTAACCAGATGGTGGGTGGGCTGCCTGGAGGGGGAGGGTCCTCGGAGGTAGTCAGGATGCCCTGTGCCTTCTCCAGTGAGAAGCTGGTGGTGCTCAATGCTGGAGTCACCCTGAGAGATCACTGCCCAGGACTTGTCCCTCGTCCCCATTCCTTGAGCTTCTTCCCCAGGTATTATAATAATAACAATAACAGCAGCTGCAAGAACTGTGTAGCAGGGGTGGCGGGAGCTTGGTAGACAGAACCTTGTCTGATTCTCCCGGCAGCCTCATGAGGTAGGTACTGTTAGCCCCAGTTTACAGAGAACCAGACACTGAGGCTCAGAGAAGTCAAGGGATCTACCCAAGGCCACACAGCCACCTAGGTCTGTCTGATTCCAAAGCCTGCCCTCTTTCCCCTCTGCTTTTACTGGTTGTTTCACTACAGTGACTCTACTATGGGACCTTAACTATGTCACTCAACCTCTTTGTGCTTTAGAGCATTCGTGGGCTAGGGGCTGACACAGCACAGATGTATACTAGGCCCTGGTGCAGGTCTTGGCATCCAGGTGGTGCTCTATAGAAGGCTTCTAGTGGAACTGATGACCGTGAGAGGTTGACTCATTCTCTGGACCAGAGAGGTGTGTGTGAGTGTACGTGTGATCAGGCACTTTATCTGTAAATAATTTTATAGCCCCTCCCCTCACTGTGTGATTTATTGATAAATTATGTGCTCTGAGAGGCAGTGTGGCTTAGTGGTTAAGAGAACAGGCTCTGGAGCCAGGGTGCCTGGCTTTGGATCCCAGCTTGAATTTTCCTAGTTGTGTGGCCTTAGGCAAGTTGGCTTAACTGCCTGTGTCTCAGTTTCCTCATCTGTGAAACGGAGATGATTCATAGTGGTAATTAGAGTTGATTTTTTGGGAGAAAGTACTAAGTTCCTGGCACTAATAAGTTTTACCTATGTAAGCATTAGCTGTCAGTTTATTACTAATAAACTATATACATTGCAAGGCATATACACAGAAGAGATAAAAAAAATTTCTAGTGGTTTCCACCATACTCCCATGATCTTGCATCTTCTGCTCGGGTGGAGACCACTAATGGAACAGGTGTTGCGCAGGCCACTTTTGGGCCCGTGGGCTTGAGGCAGGGTGTCGGGTTAGGGGGCAGCCTTGCAGACCCCCACCTCCTGGCCTTGCCCCCGCCACAGCTCCAGGGAGCCCAGCGGAAGCTGCAAGAGCAAGAGGGCGAGTTCCGGACCCGCGAGCGAAGCCTGCTGGGCTCCCTGGAGGAGGTGCGCGGCGCCCAGAAGCAGCAGCTGGACCATGCCCACAGTCTGGAACTGAAGCTGGAGGCCGCCCGGGCCGAGACCGCGGAGCTGGGGCTGCGACTGAGCGCGGCAGAGGGCCGGGCGCAAGGCC